ATATATTCATAGTTTGGAAACTATAATCTACGGTAGCAGTATGTTCCATAAGGGGAGGAATATATACACCACCGATAATGATAATATAGTTCAAAAAGACTAAAAAACAAGCTTTTATAGCATACGAAACTAAAAAATGAAAAATAAATATATTTATTGATAACTATTCATAAGTGAGTGTCTGAAATTTTTGTGCGCACTAAGACAAAATGAAACCTACCTCTTGTATTATCCCTGCAATATACTTGAGAACATCCATGGTACTATACTTCAATACAATTGTCAGAACATTCAAAACATTTTCTTTATCTTCAGCTCTGATCAACTTCCTTTCGACTTGGAACGAGAAAAAATCTACGTTGGCATTGATCATTTCCGTCACTTCTGAATATCCACAAGAAGTGGAAATAGTTTTCAATGCCGATACGCCGGCTGCTCTCACAAGAGAATGACTACTACCTGAGAAAGAAAAACGTATTAAATATTATTCAGGTGCAGATATCAACTGTGAGGTTAAAAAGTTTTGGTGTACCTGCTCTTTCTAAGACCAGATACAAAGTCTTCAAAATGAATTCTTGGAATCGGTCTTTGAGAACGGAAGCAACTTTTCCTACTCCTTCAACAAGTAAGCAAACTTGAATAACATTATGCTGGGTCTGCACCAGAGACACGTCATTTCCACATTCATCTAAACCCACTGTCAATGGCACTTGCCAGTATGAACTGTCGATATAAGTGTCCACGACGTTCCTCATGATATCTAAGTTTTCCTGGTTGACCTCTGCACCTATAACCATTTTGCATGATGATCACTTTGTGGAAGGTTTCAAAAGCTCGTCTATACCTGCTATAGCTTCATTCAAAATGAAAATTCCTTCTTTTCGGTGCTCTTCTTCGTACATTATTACATCCAGCAAAAAGTCGCTGATAATTCTAAAGGAGCCGTATTTTGCTTGGAGGGCGCATATTTTCTCCAATTTCATTTGAACGGAATGTTCATTGAAATGAATGAATGTTTTCCAGGGGGTTCCTACATCTGATTTGGGATCCAGTTCTGAAGAAAATGATAGTTTAGTCTATCAGAAACGGCGATGCCTAAAACTTATAATCAAAGTATATTTAACAAAGCAATTACTCTACTGTAGTTTACTCGATTGCACAATGAAATGATTATATCTTTTCTAAACCGTGCAATATATTCAATAATAATAGGTGATTCAACATCTTGCATCAATAAATAGTATAGATCTTCAAAACTACGCAACACATTTTGATGCGTTTTTTTTTAATATGTTAAAATATGTTGTTGAAACATGTTTGTTAAAAATGTTTTTTGCGTTAACCAGCTGTCGCACCTCTACGAACGACAACCCTCAGAAGTCGAAACTTGTGCGAGCTAAGGATTAACGAGGTCTTACCTTTCAACGTGTGATTCCTAACACGGGTTGGACGATGGCAAGTGAAAATCGATCGTTCAGCTTGCGGCTTTAACCACCGACTCACACATCGGTCGATTGAGAGAGTGAACAAAGCACCCAAGTCGAACGGCCCGGCTACCGACCTACCTAGTAGATAGAGTGATTCAAGAGGAAGGTTTATATGTACCCAAAAACATTCCAACGAGAAAGGTATTACTGGCGACCATAAAACAACGTAATTTCAAAAAAGAGTATATTATTGATTCGATGTGAGAAACACATGGTCATATTCTTTTACGTTTGCTTCCATACTATTGTATGTTCAATCCAATTGGGATGGTTTGGGCCACAATGAAAGAAAGCTTGCGGAAATGTAATCAGTCACCGACTTTGAATACTGTGGTGCTTGACAATATAAGGCGAGTGGTGAATGAAGTAGGTAATAGTGATGTGTGGAAGAACTGTGTGGCCCACGTTATGAAAGAAGAGAACAAATATTATGTGCAAAGTTCCATAAATCCGATCGTTATTCAACCCGATGATGATTCCACCTCATCCGAATACAGCAAAGAAGAATTTTGATTTTTCTAGCAATTTTGTTGGCCTCTATTATTTTGTAAATATGTTTGACGAGAATTCGGTGTGATTATTTGTGTTTCCATTGTATTTTAGAGTTTTCGACTCGGAAATCAACTACCTTAAATTTCGAAGTTTCTCATAATTACCCATGGTGGAAAAATTCAGTTGAGATAACTTTTTCATTGGGTGATCAATTGCTGTGATTGTAAGAATAAGTAACCGAAAAACTACTACTGAAAATAATATGCCGACGCCTATGTCGAGGCGGGAATTTCTTCTCTGTGCTGTTCCAATTGGTATGGGAAATACTATACGTAAATATATGAATATTGAGTAAATGTAAATATATAATGCTATGTAATGAACATTGATAGCCATTTCATGTTGATTTCAATAACTTGTTTACACAAAGCTACATGCCAATTACTCAATAGAGCCTTGGTAGAATTCGTCTACAGTAGTCTACACTATAATAGGGCATCCCAACAAGGGCATAAATATCTGATGGATCTTTTTTGTAGAGAGAATACCATACTGAAACGAAATTGTGCACAATTTCCTCAGAAACAAATTCCATAACGTAAATATGACTCAATTTGTGCAAAATTAACTGATCTTGTAATAGTAGTGTCGAACTCTCTTGCAACAACTCTCACTTCATGACATAGAGAAGCAATAAAAATTCAAAAACAGGGATACTTTCAATAGAAGAGGCAATGAACATCAATAAAGTCTAGCTACCTGTCCTTTGAGGTACACAAACGAAGTCTGGCAATCCAATTAAGAGAAACCAAGCAACGTCTACTAATAATAATATAAAACCAGAGTCAAATACTACCATCGTAGCTAATGCTCTTGGAACAACAGGAACACCAACTCGGGCCTGCGACCGTTACCACATCGTCTACAGTAGTAGACGAAACGTCTGGCATAAAAACCCGCAGACCACGACCAAAAAACCCGGAAAATAGCTTTCACACAGTCATCTCCGGCCGTAAAAATTTACATTCTATGATCAAATTCCCTTTTGCTTTCTAAATTTTTAGTATTCGGTGACATGTCAATAGTATTTATAATTATTAACCTTTAACTGAATATTCATCCAATAACCCCACTGTGCTTCTTTTGAGTTCCGATATATGTAGTAGAGTTCGCATCAAATTGTTCAAATGATTCGCTGACAATAAGACCTGACTTAATTTATGTTCTCCAAAAACAGTAAAATAACCAATTAGTGTGTTCAATGATGTTAACTGTTCTCTTTCATCTGGAAAACAAAAAAAAAGGTATCATAAAAGGAAACAAACAGATGATAGTGTATAGAAGTAATATTTGAAATAAGAAGTGTACCAGAGGATTCACAATCTTTAAGAAGATTTACAATCCTGGAAGAGATTTGTTTGACGCAAATATTACCAACGATATGGTCAACTTGAATAACGCAATTATATTCATACCAATTCCATTGAATTTTCTTGGCAAGCAGTTTATTGCACTCAAAAAACCTTCCTCCAAACTTTCCAGCAAACATTTGATATCATTTGAATTGAGTTGATCAGATAAAATTCTCAATATGGAAGTGCTTTCTTTCGAAATTTCAGTGTCTTCATCTTCAGTAAGAGTTATAACTATTTCTATTAAATGCCTTGCTGAGTTGGGCATAGTCCTGAAATCAATGAAAAATCTCTTATAAAACTGTAGTACTACTCCGGTACTTGATGCATTTAGACTTATTTTTACAATTCTACTAACCCCTTACAATTCTCAAGTATTATCCCACACATTCTGGACAATTCTAATCGGACTTTAGGATGTGAATGTCGAGTAACTCGCATAAAATCCACAATGAGAATTTCCAACTTTCTGTCAGTATCTCTATACCATTGGGGGGAAAGTTTGGTTCCTTCTAGATGCTCTTTGATGTCTTGTTTGGTCTTCCACTTTTGTTTAACCTTTGCCTGCGTACATTCATTTATTTTTTCAACGTTAATATCACTTATGCGAAAATTTTTATCAACCGCATCGTAATCTTGCATAAGCAGTGTAACAATTCTACCCCAAGCTTTCAACGCTACCTAAAGAATGAAAACTATTTGTGTTTTATTTTAAGTACGAACAAAGTAACAATCACCATTGGAATCTTATGTCCAACTTTCTCATCTTCTAGTGCTACATGCTTCAAACCAGAAGCAACTCCTGGCAAAAAGAATAGGAAAACTTCAGCAACTTGTTTTCGAAGTACAACATCATTGAAATCATCATTATCGAGTACTCTTGCAAGAGACATAATACATTCCATAGCAGCGATTCTGAAAAACAGCAGCCAGTCAGTCAATACTTTCTAGAAAACAATTGATACGAAGCTGGTCTTCAAATTGTTTCGAAAAAGTTCGTAGTCACAGGGGTCAAGAAAATATTAGACTGGATACAAATTCTCATAGTGAAGAAAAGCAAATGAAAGTTCCAACATTCTGTTCATATTCTCATGATCATCATACCTCAAACTTTTCAATTTCTCAGTCTTGGCTACTTCAATAGATACATAGAGCATTTGGCACAACTTGGGAGCATTCGTCTTGCTGTAAAGTTCAAAAATAATGTCTGTAGAAACGCTCCTTGCCAAAGATTTTGTACATTCTATTATACTCAGTTTATATTCTTCGTGTATGGGTAGAACTGAAACAGTCAGATTCAAAGTGATAGTTTTAATATGTTTCAAAATATACATACCTTTGTGTTGAACATGATCATATATCTCAAACAATAGAAACGCATAGATGTTGAAAAACAACCCTAGTTTATCAGTGGTAGATTTATCAAATAAGTTTCGGAGTGTGTCAATTATTAGTTGTTTGTTATTATCGCTGAAACTGAAAAGATAAAAGTTATGAAAGACAGCCAAGATCTTATTTTGGGGAAAATGTTATGAATTTGGAGTGTTTGAAAATGAAATGCTTCAAAACTTTTATTGCTAGAGGATATTTGGAAGCGCTACAGAAATATTATTTACAGTTTGAGGCAAACAAAGTAATGACCAAGAGGAGGTTGATGTTACACTACTTATTTAGTTAACAAAATTTCAAAGGAACCAATGTTTTTCGATATTCTCTCAAATTTGACAGACAACCAACAAAATAGCCAAACTAATAAAAATATTTTACATCAAAGCATTCAATTCTCTAGTTCTTCTGGCTAGAAACTGGCCAATTACTTTTTTCACAGGAATATCAATGAACGGCCATTAAATCAAACCATCCAGTCTGTTTTTATATAAATAATTACAGGCCTGATTTCATAGTTATCCAAGGTAATTGGAAAAAATGTTGAAAAGTAGAATAACAAATTTCTTGACTATACAGAACTGTCACCTTTGGAGTACCACAAGGTACTGTTTTAGGGCCATTATAGTTCACTCTATACATAAACAGTCAACTACTTCTCAATTCAAAAGGCACAGTTCTCAATTTTGCTGTCGATACTGCAATAATTTATAGGACAAATAACTGGGAAGATTAAAAACATAATGTAGAGATTGATTTTGAGTTGAAACATAAGCACTGTTTTAAGATGGAATGAATTAAATAGTAATTATATACAATAACTTTTTGAAGAACCCATACCTTGATTTGTTTTCCGAAATACTTTTGATAATTGGATAGAATGTAGAAAGTATGGTAGGCTGAACAACTTTTATTAATGATTTCGAAGAATGGATTATCAAATCATTGAGACTTTTCATGCTTTCGATATTTCTAGGATTCTGAATGATGTTTCTGCAAAGTTCCTTCAACTGAGAAATATATTCATAGTTTGGAAACTGCTCCATTTTGAAAAGGCCGCCTTTCTGAAAATGAAAAACAGCTGTCAAAATGTATTATAATTTGTTTTGTTTGTATTCTTAATTATTTTGTTCTTTATCGTGTGTGGTGATGATGGTCGTGGTAGGCGATGTATGAATTTGAAAGGTGAGTTATTTGAAATTATATCATGATTTGTTTCATTGATTTTCAACAAAAACACCGGAAATGAGAATATGTTTTTTGAAGTATTTTTGGGAATGATTTCAACAACTTGAGCTCAGACTTTACTTCTCACTTCACAAGTAGTATCCTCGTTTTAAATAAACATTACAGCACGCATTATTTACTTCATAAATATACTAATAAATATTAACATTTGTTGTTTTTTTTGGTTAAGTTTGAAGTTCATTCAAATTCCAGAAGTATGTATGTTTCGTGATATGACAGTTGAATTCTGTGGTTAGGGCACTGCCATAGATACTGTATCATAGCTCTATGAGCACTGTCACTCTCTTCTTCTCTTTTTTTATGGTCTTTGCTTCCCTTCGGCGCAGTAGACCAGTACTGTCACTCTTAAGGTGCAGTCGTGCTTGTTCTAATTTTGCAAAATTTTGGCGAATAAAATAACTGTAACAAATTTGCCGCAATATACTGCAGTTTATGCTTGAGAAAGCTATTGTATAGCGAAACACGTGTCGCGGTTTTTGTAAAACCCTTTCATATCATACAATACATTGTATTAATTAGTTTATTTGTTAACTATTTAGTTAAAATGAAGTGTTCATCATAGATTTTCATCAAGTATTTGCCAATTCCATCAAATATAGTGGCTCTACCTTTCGGATGGTTTCCGAGTTTTGCGTGGTCTTCTTTGGTTATAATCTCCAATTGAGATTGGAGATCACGGCAAAACACAGAAATCAACCAAAATATTGACGCCAGCTTTGAAAGCCTACATTCCTAAATTAGTGACACTATCACTAAAGTCCGCACCACAGAACATTCTGTTCTGTATGTACCTCAAAAAATCACTAAATATAAGCCCAACTTGAGTTTTCACATACTATTATGCACCTGTAAGTTTCTGATTGACTGTAAACTGAAAGAACTTTGCACCAGAAAAGACACATTTCTGAAATTGCAATAATTTTTTTCATAGTAGGAGATCAATGACAGTATTTTCTGGACAAGATGTTGCATGTATATACGACGTGTTCACTATTAGGAGGGTCAGCATAGGAAAATCGGAAACCGTATGGGATACAAAGTCTGTTAAAATAGGAAAAAATGACCATTTTATGCCTTATTTGCAGCTCTGTAAAATATTTTTTGAACTACGATTAAAATCCAATTTATCATTTTCATATATTCGCAATATACAATGTGTTTGAAGATAAGGAGGACATGGGAAAATCTGGAACCGTAAGATANACTTTCATATATTCGCAATATACAATGTGTTTAAAGATAAGGAGGACATGGAAAAATCTGGAACCGTAAGATAAAATTACAAAGTCGATTTAATTAAGAAAGAGGTGCTAAATTAACTTGCAAATTATAAATGGACTGTGACCCGTTACTTGATGAAAATCAATAACACTATCCGTGATAATAATTACACAACTTTCGCAAACATGTTTGTAAAAATTGTGCAATTATAATCATGGATAGATTTAATTTGCAGTTTTGCAAAATATTTTGTGGACTATGATTAGACGCCAATTCATTACTTTCATATATTTGCAATTTACAAAATATGTCCAAGATAAGGACAGGGACAGTATAGGAAAATCTGAAGTCGTGAAGACTTTGTGTCGCGGCCGACTGTTTTTGTCAACAATGAAATGTCCCGTCGGTAGGCGGAAATATCAAAAAGTTTCGGTGTTTTGTGTGTTTTTGTAAACTGAGTTCACTAAGTGGAAACGCTCGGCAACATTGATACTTTTGTGTTAATCTGTGGTGGGTATAAATTTCAATTATCGACACAAGACAGGCTATTTTTATTGATTTGTTGTTTATTTCGAAAAAAACCGAATGGACAGTTGAAATATGCAGTAGTTTAATTGCCGTTCGTATGGTGGAAACGATAGAAAACAGTTCACAACAAAACACGCGACTGTTTTCAAAAACGAAACTAGTCGCAAGCGAGTCCGTTTGGTGGAAATCCGTCTTTATATAATATTCTGTACGAGTCTAATAATACACATAATAAGTGATCACCGTTATTTTCCGATTTCTAGTTCCTCGACTCCCTCGTTATCACATCACCCACCACTGATTAATTTCAAGTCAACAACAAATATTATGACTCGTGGTACTCCGATTTCTGAGAATTCTAATAACGTCTGCTCGAAGTCCACTTGATATTCTGTGAAAATAAAAACTTTCAATATGAATTGTTTCTATGAGGTGTTTGTCGGTTATTCTCTATTTGAGTTGAAGTGATTACGGCTTAGACGAAATACGTGATGGTTTTCACTATTTACCCTTTCAACGTGATAGTTGAATGCCAGTAGCATGTTTATATAGATAATATCTACTTGATGGAATATTTCTTTGTGTCCTCATTCGATTTTTACAAATTTCACAATAATTCCTGGTATACTTCATGTTACAATTGATAATCTGTTTTGTCACATATCAAAAGTTGTTTCAATTTTTCCAACTTTATGATGGGAAAAATCAAACTCAAAATGTATTGGGAAATATATGCATGTGCAAAGGTACATTGCCAAATGTATACATATTTTTTCATAAGTGCTTTGAATTTTTAAACATGTTCAATGTTTTTCAACTTGGCTGGCTGCACATTTGTTTAAATTTTTTTTCTGTACAAAGTGCTGATAGTTTTAATGAACGCATTGTTTGACATTGGTTTACGAAATCCCGTTCCGGAGATTTCAGCCTCAAAGATGGATCTCATCGTCCTGTGTGATGAAGAGTGGATCCTCATCCACCTTACTTCCCAGACCTCTCGCCAATCGACTACAATATTTTAGAACACTTTGATAACTTTCTCCTTCGCCAATTTGAACAAGGCAAAAAAAAGCCTTGGACGACTTCATTTAATCCCGAGTAGGTACACCATTTTTATGCTGACGGAATTTATTTGTGTTACGTTGGCAAAAGTGCACTGATTCAAATGGCGATTTTCCGATAAAATAGAATAGGTATTTACAGATATTTTACAGTTTGGATGAGACTCATAAAAACGGAAAAAACTTTTGAAACAACCTAATATAGTATTATTACTCCAATTCCAGTATTTCCCAATTTCCGATTTTGATCAGCTTGGATGTAAATCCGAAAATATTCTTGTATGATAATTATCATTGAAATGACTTTAAGTGAATTCTGAAGTGCTATATTTTGAATCTTTAGTGTTTATTCATAAGTAATAACGGTTCCAGTGAATTATACTTTTGTTCCGAATTTTAAACTTCTTACCTCTATTATTTCACCTAGCACTATCATCAAATTCTAACCAATAATTTTTGATACAATTATTCTGCACCAAGCATTTAAACTAGGACGTACCTGGGAACCCATTAATTGTATTGAAAAAAATACTCGCTCTGGTCCATGATGTGAACCACGTTTTTGACGATTTTGACCTAATAAGTTGGCACAATTTTCATTTCCGGCATGATGGAGCACATGTTCATATCTGTCGAGGAACGCAGGGCTCTATACATTGGCCTCCGAGGTTTCCAGACCTCACTCCATTTGAAAGTTTTTGCAAGGATAGAGCACATGTTCATACCTGCCAAGAAACGCAAGGCTCTATACTTGGCCTCCGAAGTTTCCACATTTCACTCCATTTTAAAGTTTCTGCAAGCATGGATCACATGTTCATACCTGTCGAGGAACGCATGACTCTATACATTGGCCTCCGAAGTTACCAGACCTCACTCCATTTGAAAGTTTTTGCAAGGATGGAGCACATGTTCATACCTACCGAGAAACGCAAGGCTTCATACTTGGCCTCCGAAGTTTCCAGACCTCACTCCATTTGAAAGTTTCTGCAAGGATGGAGAACATGTTCATACCTGTCGAGGAACGCAGGGCTCTATACATTGGCCTCCGAGGTTTCCAGACCTCACTCCATTTGAAAGTTTCTGCAAGGATGGAGCACATGTTCATACCTGTCGAAAAACGAATGGCTCTATACATTGGCCTCCGAGGTTTCCAGATCTCACTCCATTTGAAAGTTTCTGCAAGGATATAGCACATGTTCATACCTATTGAGAAATGTAAGGCTCCATACTTGGTCTCCGAGGTTTTCAGACCTAACTCCATTTGAAAGTTTATGCAAGGATGGAGCACACGTTCATTCCTGTCGAGGAACGCAGGGCTCTATACATTGGCCCCCGAGGTTTCCAGACCTCACTCTATTTGAAAGTTTCTGCAAGGATGGAGCACATGTTCATACCTGTCGAGAAACGCATGGCTCTATACATTGGCCTCCGAGGTTTCCAGACCTCACTCCATTTGAAAGTTTCTGCAAGGATGGAGCACATGTTCATACCTATCGAGAAATGCAAGGCTCTATACTCGGCCTCCGAGGTTTCCAGACCTCACTCCATTTGAAAGTTTCTGCAAGGATGGAGCACATGTTCATACCTATCGAGAAACGCAAGGCTCTATACTTGACTTCCGAGGTTTCCAGACTTTACTCCATTTGAAAATTTCTGCAAGAATGAAGCACATGTTCATACCTGTCGATAAACGCATGGCTCTATACATTGGCCTCCGAGGTTTCCAGACCTCACTCCATTTGAAAGTGTCGGCAAGAATGGAGAACATGTTCATACCTGTCGAGAAACGCATGACTCTATACATTGGCCACCGAGGTTTCCAGACCTCACTCCATTTGAAAGTTTCTGCAAGGATAGAGCAAATGTTCATACCAGTTGAGAAACGCATGGCTCTGTACATTGGCTCCGAGGTTTCCACCCCTCACTGGAGGGGTTTCTGTAAGGATGGAGCACATGTTCATACCTGTTGAGGAACGCATGGCTCTATACATTGGCCTCCGAGGTTTCCAGACCTCACTCCATTTGAAAGTTTCTGCAAGGATGGAGTACATGTTCATACTTGTCGAGAAACGCATGGCTCTATACATGGGCCCCCGAGGTTTCCAGACCTCACTTCATTTGAAAGTTTCTGCAAGGACGGAGCACATGTTCATACCTATCGAGGAACGCACGGCTCTATACATTGGTCTCCGAGGTTTCCGGATCTCACTCCATTTGAAAGTTTCTGCAAGGATAGGACACATGTTCATACCAGTCGAGAAACGCATGGCTCTGTACATTGGCCTCCGAGGTTTCCACCCCTCACTGGAGGGAATTCTGTAAGGATGGAGCACATGTTCATACCTGTCGAGGAACGCATGGCTCTATACATTGGCCTCCGAGGTTTCCAGACCTCACTCCATTTGAAAGTTTCTGTGAGGATGGAGTACATGTTCATACTTGTCGAGAAAAGCATGGCTCTATACATTGGCCCCCGAGGCTTGCAGACCTCACTTAATTTGAAAGTTTCTGCAAGGATGGAGCACATGTTCATACCTATCGAGGAACGCACGGCTCTATAAATTGTCCTCCGAGGTTTCCAGACCTCACTTCATTTGACAGTTTCTGCAAGCTATCGATGACAGGACCTTGCCGACGTGTCCAAGCAGTTCAACAACGGCCCCTTTCATTATATACCAGCGACTCGACGCCAAACACTTCAATTTTATACGCAAATTTTAGATTCCTTGAGTAATATTATTACAATTATCTTACGGATGTCTATTTTGCGAAAATATCATACAGTCCGCTTGTTGCTCGCTGATAATATAGCTTTTTATAGGCAGAGAATTTTCAAAATCAGTTAAGAAGTTTTGAGTTTATTTCTCACAAACAGACAAACCGTTCTTTAATCTTGATATTTGTTAAAATTGATTATAATAATAAAGTTGAGGCTCATCTTTCATTCTCCTATTGTAACTCCTTTATGGTTCTCTTCCAAAAAAAATTGTCTTATGCTTTTGTAATTGAAATATAATTTTCACCAAAATTCGTGCAGAGCTTTACTGTTCGAGTAAAATTACCTTTTTCTGACGGTATCAGCTACTTATGTGCAAATTTAAACTATTTCCAATGGTAAAAGGTTATCAATGGTAAGCACTTAATCTGGATCACCCTGTATAAAATTTTCAAAAATTTCTATTGTAATCTTCGTACCGATATTCAGGGTTCAATTCACCTAATCCGCATTGTGTTTAGTATCAACAACCGTTTATTGACATTTTCAAAAATTTTTCAGCCCATCGTCTGCATGTCAGTTATCATGTAAACACTCGGCAATCCCAAGACTACCTCAACAGATTATGAGCACAGTAGAAATCAACCATGAGTCTCATTACTGATTGGGGAAGGGGTACCGCCTACGGGGCAGAGTACAACTGTTACAGTGTATAAGATCGATGAACGTTAGTATAGACCGTTTATTCAATTTGCGAAGCTTTTGTGTATCACTAACAACGTGGAGTGCAAGTGTCCGTCAATTAGTTCAACTCTATTCGGGCAAAATGCCGTTCGTGCAACCAGAAAGTTTGTCTCGAGTTCCGTGGCCGAGTAACGAAAGTATCCACGCTGGGAGTTCTCCGAGCGGATCTCGAATCCACAGTCCGACATCTCCCAACTCGTTTTCGCCGATTTCCACCTCGCCAGACAATACCCTCAGGAGAAGAATACGTCGTGCTTCTAGTTTGGGAAGCGTCATCCAGGAACCCTTCGTAATCCGGTCGGACGCCAGAGATTCCAGAAGTCAAAGCCCCGTACTAAGTAGCCATGAAGAAGAAGACGAGGATGATTTCATGTCAAAAATCATCGGCTGGTACCCTTGCTTTCTGTTTCGAATCGCGAAGGCTATGGTTCTTGCTATTTTGCCTCAAACATGGAGACAACTGATTTTCGCCTTGCCAATGCTCTGGATCTCCATGTGGATTTGGTTGTTCACACAACTGATTCAGCTACCTTTGACGATTACCAAGATTTTATTATCCATGATTTTATCCAACAACTCTCCAAAAAAGAACAAGAAAAGGACTGTCCTGATTAGTGGGGGGAGTACCATCCAGGCTCTTCACTTGGCGAGAAACTTCCACTCCGCTGGAGCGAGAGTAGTGGTGTGTGAAGTGGAAGGACTTTTTTCCCTGACGAAGTATTCAACTGCGGTAAGCAAGTTCTACACGGTTCCAAGACCTACCAGTGACCAACAACAGAAGTACGTGAGAGCTCTTTGCGAAATCGTAGACAGAGAGCAAGCTGTCTATTATATTCCAGTTGCAGCCACGACTTCAGCATACTACGACGCTGTGGCCAAGCCTCACCTGGAACTGCTGGGATGCTCTTGCTTTTGTCCTGGAATCAAAGAAGTATGGGTGTTGGACGACACGCTGGAGGTGCTGAAACGCTGCCAGAAGTTCAACATCCCCACACCTAATTACCACGTGGTTACCTCAAGAGAAGACGTTCACAGATTGTACGACACCGGTACTATAAGGAGAGGTATTCATGTAATGACCACTGCTGGACCTAGAGGTCTTCGAGAACGCTCAAAGATCTTGCTACCCCTGTCAAGGAATGACTTGAAGCTACCCAACGACATCAGCGAGCAGAAGCCTTGGGTGGTGGTTCAGAACCTGGAGGGCGACAACTATCTGACGTGCACTACAGTGAAACAATCTAACGTCATAGCCAATGTTACTTGCAAGATAAGCAGCACCGAACTGATCCCCGAAGAGAACAGAGAGATAAACCAGTGGCTCGCAAATTTTTTCAGTAAAATTAATCTGCTGAGGCCGATATCTGGACATGTAAGCTTCAGGTTCGTGAAGTGCAAGGAAACTGGCACGTTGATACCTTTGAGCAGCAGAGTGGGGGTGTCGCTGCCTTACGTTTGCTACACCACTGTTCATCCAAGGCTGGTATGGAGGCCTTGCAAGCATTTCAGTCGTTCGAATTCCGGTCCCTTGGTCAATGGGAACGGAGTGTACAAAATGCCGGACAGCGTATTGAAAACTGTACACAATCCGTCCATAGAGAAGGTAACCAGGCTGATTGGTACTGTCTTGGACAGGCGGGAGGCCATATTCGCTATGCATGACCCGCTACCTTACTGCGCCTATTACCACATGCAGTTACCTTTCAAAAATGTCTTGGGGTTCATGCAGAGGCAGCAGAACAATTTCCCTAGACCGATGACGGCTGGTGTGAGATAGAGTGCAGATTTGCGTCTATGGGAGAGAGATCTCTGAGCCTGATGTGATAGAGACAATACGTAGGTTACTGAATTTATGAGTGGAATTATATCATATTTATTTCAATGAGACTTGTTGCCAAATGTAGGTCTTTTCTTTGTTGATAGAGACGAGTCTTGTGCGAATGTTGAACAAACATGTTATGAAATTATTTTATTAATAGTCTTAATCTCGTTTTCTTCAAGATGTGTTTGTATTTATCTTTGCAAACTTGCGTTATATTGCAGTGATTGTTATAACGTCTGACTATATATTTTTATGGGAACATAAAAAATGATGTATGTTACATTAGCTGACAGTGACATTTGTAAGATTTATATTTCATAGTATGACTCTGATGTTTTTACTCTTTGAAAATTACTCCGGGCCCAATGTATGCAATTGGTCAATATTTGTTGTTATAATTGTTAATAAAAAATTTGACCTTTATTATGGATTTGATTTAAAATAGTTTTGAAAGGCAAACTCTCATCTGGTTATTTATCTTATCAATCAGAATCAAAACAATTGAACGTGTATCTGTAATCTATAATCATAAGTCAACTAATCCAACATCCTGAAACTTCGTTTATATGAGGAGATTACCGTAATTTTAGTGAAATCCATTTAATATAGCCAATGATAACTAATGACTGGTTTATGGATTCTCGATATAATAATTTGAGATATTATTCACTATTAAAATTGAAAAATGCTTTTGCGTACACGATAATCTCGTGTATTTATGTATCGAAATTCTGTTATTTTCGCAGGAGAACAAAAATTCAGTTGATAAGTTGTAATTGCTCAAGAGTGTTTAACAAAACTTGAAAACGAACAAATTATTTTGTTTGTTCTTTACAGCTATCAAAGTGGTTACAACACAAAAGCGATTATAGAATATTTGATATCTAAATCGAAATATTTCTGTTTCGATTCGCTTTGAATGGAAATGATATCCAAACAACTATTTATTTATGCCAAGATCCGAAAACAACTACTTTTCCCAATCACCAATACTGAAATACTCTTCAGGAAATGAAGAAAACTAATTCCTAACTGTGAAACTCAACAATTAATTCTTAAAAATCGTTTACATTTCGAAAATTGAACTGAAATTATTTTCGAAACTGAATAATAACAACTTTTTAGAGTTGGAATGTTTTACAATTTCATTTGGTTCATTTTTGCATGAAAGAATGTCAACACCTTTACCTTTATCAAAGTTTGAGATAACAAATGTTTATTTGATGTGTGAATGTATCGAGTTGAAGGACTTACTGGATAAGTAGCATCATTTTAATGCACTGTGTTTATCTGAAAACTGTCGCTTTCAATTAGACCATAGGAAATTTTATCGCAAATACAGTGGCGTAGGTACACAGTATATAATAAAGACCTAAAAAAATTTATCTGTACTTTCTTACGTCAGTCAAACTTATATTTCAAACACTGGAGAATACAGTTTATTATATTATGTTTCAATAAATAATTTTTAGATTGTCTTGATACTCTAGTCTTGGGATTTCAGAGATTTTTCAAGTATCCTTTCGAATTAGTTATGGCTCCACATGAAGTGAATGAGTACGAGGTCGGGAGAGCTAGATGGCCATTCTATAAATTTACAACCAGCGATTAAGGGAAAATAAATGCTTATCTGAGGGAAAATTGATTACTATGTTCATTACTTTGTTTTCCGACTGCCAGAGTGGGCCACCTGACAAAGTAGTTTCGATACGTTTATTTTTTCTTGCAACTGAATATTAACATGCCTCTAGGTTTTCTGTTTTTTTCGCATTTCGAATTCAAATCTACTCTGGAACTGTATACAGTTCCAAACCACGACGTTGAACTCAGTGGACATTTTAGTTATAATATGATGGATAAAAAGACAGAACAATAATGGTTCAAGTGTATCTCCCTGTTGTACTCCTTGTTCGGACATTATAATTTCGTTACCAAATTTTAAAACACAAGTTTCACTGTAACATTGTTCAATAAAAGGGTATATGTCTGGTATGGCGTTAACAAGCGAATGTAACATGAAATTCCTGTCTAAAGTATTGAATGCAAGTTTCAGAAAAACTTTTTCAACTGGGTTAGTGTTTCGATTAATATAACATCGTGCAGTATGGGCTACTGCCTCGCAACCACCATTTGTTCCAAATCCAAACTGTTGGGGACGAAATAAATTTCAAAGACTTTCTCGTACCTATATTAAAGTACATTTTTATCGTGAATCAATCAGAAATGAATGAAATTCTTAGATTCTACAACACGACCCCCTGATAGTAAACCAGTAAATGATTATGTGGTTTACTGACCAAGTATTTCGGTGAATAATCATGCGCCACCGTAGAATCTTGAAGGGTATTATTTATCGAAGACAATCCGAGATATCTCCGGAGCGAATAAGTCGCGTGATGTCGTGACGGGGAAGTAATGTCGATTTTTTCATTCAATAATAAAGCTTTATTCCTGATATTCCAATACTTTTTTGTCATGCACCTCGTAAAACTCCGATTATGTATATAATCGCTGAACAAAGTCGATTCGACATTTTATAGCAATCACTACCTACTATTCAAAAATATTTCGAATGAGTTTAGAGCTTGGGAGTTTAGGAACACTTTCAAAAATGAACATTTCTGTTCAATTTTCCCTGACAAATTCTGTAAAAGCTACCTCATGAATGTGTGTCGAATATAATTCAATGTTCGTCGTGGTATCAGCCAAAGAAGTAGTTGTTTCTGGTAGACATTTACCAGAGCCTACTGTGTAAGAACGTTGGAAAGATCTAATGTTGAAATTTTATTTCGAAATATTTGTTTTTTTCTACATTTTCAAAAAAATTGGATGTTGTGCAGGCAGAAGGTCAGTAAGATTCCTAAAAATTAATGAACAAAGTGTATAAATATGGTCGTTAAAGAGAGAAAATATTTTTGAGTTACACACCCCAAGGACAGTGTACAAAACCCGAGGAAGCAATTGTATGGGCTGTTTTTGTTGCTGTTTTTTTAATTTTGTTCAGGTACCTGGAATTTCGAGTTTAAAGAAAGTCGAAAGTTTGATATCAAAGTCGAAATTGTTGAATTTCAATTTGGAGGTGAATTATTGANTCTATTTTTATTTAAAAAAATTGTCAACCTTAATTTAACCAGTTTCTCTATTAGCTTGTCAAGAGTGGGAATGAGACATATAGGACGGAATTTTGAAGGATCATTGAGATCACTGAGATCAATGGGATAACTATTGATGTTTTTAGGCAGGATGATTTTATTACGAAAGATAAAGCATTTAACGTGGTATCAGGAAGGTTAGCAAAAATAATAATTGAAATTTTGTCTATTCCCGCGGCCTTTTTATTTTGAAAAGATTGAATTATTTCTTTAAGCTCATTTGGAATGGACACGTGTCCTTTCAAAAGATGTATCATTCGACTTTCCCTGTTACAAGGGGATGAAGTTTCTGCTGTAATTGAAAGGTACTACCTCAGTACCATGTATTTTTGGTTTTTATATTGTTCATTGATTTGTTTTCAGTTTCATTTTTTTAGGAAAGAAACAAGTAACTGTCAAGCCTAAATGTCATAACATCCATAATAAACTAGCAAACAATTTTGTTGGAANTATTGGAGTGACACAAACCCTCACGTTTTCCGGGAAAAACATACCCAATATCCTGAAGAAAATAACATTTGGGCAGGAATATTGGGAAACCATATTATAAAACCTCTATTTATTGTTTAAGGAGGGAACTGCTAAGCTAAGGGACGGTTGTTAGCCGTAGCCTGATGATGTTAACTTGATTAGCGAAACTCTCGTCGAGAGACAGTATTTTTGTTCTGGTGTGGGAAAAGTGTTTTCAACAGAATAATTCATCAAGTTGATAGGATTTGTCATGAGAAATTGAACAAAAAAAGAGTCAGTGTTCAAAGTGCGCCTACATTCTTGATGCAAATCATTTCAACACGAAAAATATTTGTTTCACCAGCGGATTACCCCGTTCATGTCTAGGAAATCGAAAACGTGTCCAAGTGGTGTATGACCTCTTGGCGCGGTATCAGCTAACCCCGCAAAGTCCACAGTCCACGCCGGGTCTGAGGATCATCGAGTAGCTGTCGCGACCATCGTCTGATACTTGAGATTTATATCTGAAATGAATAATTTTCCGATACTTATAGCACAGTAAAATTAAGCAAAATACCACTCAGATACGAAAGCGTGTAAGGACCCCCTGTACAGGGGAAATAAACAGGCAGAAGGTCACAAATAAAAACATTCCCATTTTCTCCGACAGCAAGGCGGCAATTAAGGCGATCAGCTGAATTCAAGTCGTCTCAAGACTGGTGCGCCATTAAGGAGCTAAGTAGTCAAATATAGGGCCACTCTAGCTTGGGTACCAGAACATGAGGGTCATAATGGCCATGAGGAGACCGATATTCCAGTCTGTGAAGGCACATCCAAAGCTATGATCGGCCCAGAACCCTTCTGCGGGGTAGCGAAAGTATGTATAAAGATTCATGGATGCAAGCCGAATCAATATATTGATGGAATAAGCTTCCAGGAATGAGGCAGGCGAAAGAGTTCATAAAGAAACCATCTCCCAGATTCACGGAAGACCTGCTGAACCACAACGGTAAAGTTGTAAGGGTAGTGGTGGGTCTACTAACAAGAAGCATAGGAGCAACATGGGTCTGAGAGAAGAAACCCAATGCAGGTTCTGTCAAGAAGAGGAAGAAACCGCACTGCATGTGCTCTGTGAATGCGAAGCGATAGCATGGCTGAGACACGCAAGATGTGGAAAAGAGAAACCAGAGGTTGCCAGGTATGTGAAGGGGTCAGTGTGAAGGCTATGGAGTCTCATCAAAAAGATCAAGCTAGACAATGAGCTCCAACAACCAAGGAGAGCCAAAACCAAAAAGCACACCAAGTTCGATCAAATGACAAGGTTTTGCTCACTGTTTTCATGGATTATCGAGGCGTAGTGCATCAGAAGTTGTTGCCACATGGTCGTACGGTCAATAAGGAGAATTATATTGAAGTTATGCACCACTTGCGAGAAGCAATACGAAGAAATCGTCTGGCGTTGTGGAAAAATAATTAATTAATAGCTTTCGCACTGAGCTAGTGCACCTGCTCACTCGTCAATGAACAAAAAAACGCGTTTTCTTTCTTAGGCCCGGGTTTTTTCAGCCCAGGTGTTACATCGTATCGTCTATGGGATCTTTAACACAGAAAGCTAAACTTGAATTTTTTATTTGCGAATAAATAATTGAGAAAAACGTTTTTCTGTTCAGACTGAACGTATCTGTGACGTAGACTGTTTACTTCTTTGATAATAATGATTAGTGAACAACTAGTACACTCGAAACTTTTTTTGGAAATGAGTACCCAGGTTTTAGAGGCGCAAATTTTACTGCACTATTAAAAACCATGCACTCGATTATT